TGTTTTTTGTTTTGTTTTGTTTTTCTGGAAAGAACCCATGTCAGTTATCAGCAGGGAACAGGATCTGGAAGGCCCACGGGTGGAGGTCAGGGATGCCTTTCTTGAACCTTGGCAAGAGGTGGATGCCTGCACACTGGCAAAGGAAGCCTGTTCTGACGTGACTATGACCCCTACCTGTATAAAGACCATCTCCGCGTCGTCCCCCCCCCCCCCGCCTGCTAGAAAAGTTAAAGTAGGTGTAGACAATGGTGGTTTTTGAAGTGGTAGGGTCCACACACAGAATGGAAGTCTTCAGAGAACAAATGGGTAATTAAAAGAAGGCAGTCCCACAGAGAACTTGAGAAACTATCACGTGGGCTTCGTCTAAGCTCCAAACGTTAGTCTTGCCCGAGATCCCCCCTGAGCTGAGCACCCTGGAGAAGGATATGCCACCCACCCTGTTCCCTGCGTCCTGGAAGGCAGATAGCCTATGCTTTCCTTTGCATTGCCTGTCAAAGTGGCCTGATAAAAGATGATTTCGGTGTTTCTTCTTCACTTCAACAGACAGGGTAAAGAAACCTAGGCCCACAGGCCCTTCTGCATGATACCCGTGGCAATGCTGATAGGCCCAGCAGAGATGGGGAGCCCTCTGTGCTAAGAAAGAGTGTAGAAACCATATTCCTAGCAATCAGTGCCTTTAAGCTTCTGGTAGCCTCTCCAGGCTCTTCCCACCAATGGCCTGGACTTGTCAAAGCAGCCTGTGAGACCCCTGCTATTCATGGTTGAGTCTGGCTGGCTACAGACAGGGTAGGTGGGAAAGGATGGCCTTTCTCAGATTTCTTTACTGGGCCAACAAAGATTAGCCCTGGCCTGGCATGAACATTTCTCATTACCCAAACATCTCTAACAATCCTTCACATGCTATCTTTGGCCAGTGTTTCCCCCAAAAGATAACCGGAAAAGTATGCCTCTGGAGTTTATTTAATACACACAGAAAGACAGACACATCGAAGTTTGACCTCGGGCCCTACAGTCTTGGGTGACTTGGCCTCTCTCCCACCCTGCCTCTTATCTGATGCTGGACGTGCCCAATTGCTCTACCGTTGATTTCAGACCAATTTGCTGTTAACCAATCAAAATATATTACTCTGTGGACATTATTTGATATGATGGCACCCAATTGAAATGTACCGCTACTCCTCCCTTAGGAACAAGAAATCATTTTTCCCTTTCAAAATAAATAAATAAATAAATAAATAAATAAATAAATAAATAATGTATTCAAAGATTCAATGTGCTAATGAACAAACGGATGCATTCTTAGCCCCTGTATGCTTCTGGCTTTGTCTAGTAAGCAAGCCTATTTATCCCAGTCATAATTTTTTTTTTAAATAATCAATACTATAGCCATTTCAAATCTCCTCCTGAACCCCTCTCTCCATTCAAATTCTGGGGTTTGAAGTCCAGTCCACCCAGGGTTCAGTCTCTGAATTCTCAGGTTTTCTACCCCAGGTAGCCATAGAATTCCATTTAAATCCTATCACTCTTTTTATACCTGAAATAGAGCCTGAGGTGACTGTTAGACATCACTTACTGCCAAGTCTATGGAAACATCCTTCTCACCCTGCCCACGATTATTTTTAAATCCACTCTACAAAACGAAACAAAACAAAACAAAACAGTAACAGAGCCATGGAGACAGAACTTCTAGAAGCTGCTCTCTCCCTTTTATCTTCCCTGGGAGCGGCATTTTTAAACACGGGTTTCTGTCAGACATTAAACAGTCCGCACACAAGAATGCATGTCTCTAAACACCTTGGAATCCTGCCCCAAACTGGAGATATTCTTAGCTGCGACTCTCCTGCCTTCTTGAACTAGGTAGAAAGACAGGCTGGAGTCTAGAAGGAATAATTAGAATTCTCTAAATGGTTACTTGATATTTTTTCTAAATGTTCAAATATTTATATGATTTATACGCCATTTATTTTCTAGTTTGCTTTTTTCTCCCCTACAATTCAGTGAGGTAGTTACTATTATTTGTGTTTTTATTTTTTATTATTAATTAAATTCATTCATTTATTTTACATCCTAACCACAGTTACCCCTCCCTCCTCTCCTCTCACCCCGCCCCCCAATCCACTCCTCCTCTGTTTCTATTCTAGTTACTAGATTTTAACGGGTGTTTACACTCCAGAGGATACTGGCATATTGCCAGTTAGGAAAAGGTATGTGGAAGGAGGAATCATAGACACTCATCTACAGCCCCATCTCTTTGACCATTGACTCTCAGCCTTTGTTGGAATTTGTCCATCGGATGGCAGGACCTGAGGATAAAATTCTGCTCATTGCACACACCAGGATCCTCCTCACCCCCACCCACGTTCCTATCTAGATCAGCTCAAACAAAAACAAGTTAACAGTTAATATATAATCGTTCTTCTAACTGATTTCAGTCTGAAGTAATGGGGATAGTGTTCTAGCAGCTGGGTAAGAAAACAAAAGAAAAAACATGAGTCTAAGATACACATAAAATTCTGATTCGGTGGGTTATCTTAACATCCGTAACAGTGTTGTTCTCGATTCAACTCACTGTTAAATTTTGTGCCAACGTATTTGCAGAATGCTGTATCTTTTCCCAGTTCCCCGCAGATTTCAAGCATTTAGATCCCGAAGCGGCATGGTAGGGCCCTACTCTGGACCTGCCTTGTGTCATGGCACCCTGCTGCTATCAGAAGATCCCATTTGTCCACTGCCATCACCCCCTTCCAGGTCCTGTCTGGAGAGTAACGCCCATGTGGTCCAAGTCTTGAGAGGTATCATGGTTACCTTGGCAACCAAGACATCTTGATTTCAAAACCTCACTCTGCTACATCATAAAATTAGTGGCAGAATTGACATTTAGTTACATGTCTGTCATAGAAATGAAGTAGTTAAAATGATTCTCCTTAGCATGGAAACTGAAGGCACTAATTAGAACAAATAAATGATACATATTACACACACACACACACACACACACACACACACACACACACACACAAACATACACACTCAAAGCAGTCCTTGACTTGGACAGTGGATGTATTTGCTTAATTCCTTGTCTGAGATGCTGAACCACACATATTATTCTATGTCAAAATTCTGTGGTGGTTTTATCTTATGATCAGAACAAAGCTTATAGTAATACTTCATTAGATACCCAATATAAACAGGGTGATGAATAATAGAAAACTAAGCCTGTAAAACAAAAAACAAAAGTAACATTCAAAGCATTCTTGGCTTTACTGGATACTGTTCTTTATGCTGATTGGAAGTAAGATCGAGTACAGAACATTCTGGTAACTAAATCAGAATTTTAAAGACAAGATATGCCTCCCTTTTTACTCTTATATTTATGTATATTTTATACATTTACATGTTATGCCAGCACCCAGGAAGCATTGGTAACATCTTTACAGAACAGCACAGTCATCTGCTTTGAGTCCTGGGTTTTCTTTTGTAATGTGAGAACATCTTTTCTTTTGTTTGTTTGTTTGTTTTTTGTTTTTTGTTTTTCGAGACAGGGTTTCTCTGTGGCTTTGGAGGCTGTCCTGGAACTAGCTCTTGTAGACCAGGCTGGTCTCGAACTCACAGAGATCCACCTGCCTCTGCCTCCCGAGTGCTGGGATTAAAGGTGTGCGCCACCACCGCCCGGCTAATGTGAGAACATCTTAAACTCAGAACTTTCACCTCTGTTTGCTGTGGTCTGGTGCAATTTTTTTTTCCCCCTGAAAATACATAGAAAGACTCTACTTGAGAATTACATTTAATGCAAGCACCCTGCCACACTCTGCATCAGAGATGACTATTTTTAGAAATTGCGTGGCTGCCTGCATGTATTTTTTTTCTCCATTGATATGTAGGAAGAAAAGCTCATTAATGATTTAAGAAGAAGAGAGGGTTTTTTTTTTGATTCATAGACTTGATTCTTCCTATTACATAAACAATAGAGGCAATAAATTCACATCTCATAAAGTCACAAGTTTATTGCTGAGTTTATTTGCAAGAAAGTCTCGACTCCTGAGCATAAACATTCCTGCACTCACTTCCCCTGCCTGGCTGTTCTAAAAATGATCACCCGGCATATTTTAACCTAGAAGGGAGGTTATTATTCCTGCCCGCCAACTGCCATCGAGCACCATATTTGAGCAACTGTCTCATACAACAATTCTTTGACTTCTAGAACGGTAAGTTATACCATAAAAATAGAAGCTCCCGATGTCAAATTTAAGTAGAAGCCTCGTTTTCCTCTTCTTTTCCCCCATGTACCTGTCGTGTATCACCTATAACACGGGAGGGGGCTGATTCTCATGTTTTCCGACTGTATCAACCCTCCATTGACTTCATCTTCTTGCTTTACACCTAGTTAAAAAAAAAAAAAATCCGAATTCCTGCCAATTCAGGTTTCTCTGTTTGGAAGCAGATAAGGGGTTGTGCTTCGTATCTGTGTGCGTGAGCAAGAAGGGCCAACATCCTTCTTTGTATTTGCTGATGCCATGCAGCAAATACTGATGACATCTCCACCGGCTGTTTGCTTTCTCTCATTGGGTTGGACATCTTCGCCTTTGTGTTTTACCGAGGGGGTAAAAGGTGCTCTTGGTCATTTCCTTTTATCTTGCAACTATTTCTCATAAGCAGAAATAGTTCAGCATGTGGGAATTCCAGGACTGAACGAACTCCTTTGGGTAGCCATCTCTCGGGGAAGCCACTTCACAGGAATCCTGGGCATATCCGCATTCCACAGTGAGATGGAAAAATGAGCCACGAGGCTGCGTTGGGGCTGGAATGTGTGGGGGCTTAGCAGTCTGTCTGCATGACTCATAGATGTGTTTACTATCCAGCCCTTTTTTTTTTTTCTTTAATATTATTTCAACTGTGACAGGATGGTGTTAGATAAGTGGGGAGAAGAGAGAGGGACCACAATGGATGGCTTGAGAGACACTTGGAAAGTTGATGTGAGTTTATCTGTGGTTTCCTTTCAGGTCTGATGTTGTGGTCCTCTGTTTTTCAATCGCGAATCCCAACTCCCTAAATCATGTGAAAACCATGTGGTATCAAGAAATCAAGCACTTTTGCCCTCGAACACCTGTTGTCCTGGTTGGCTGCCAGCTAGACCTCCGCTACGCTGATCTGGAAGCTGTTAACCGGGCCAGACGCCCCTTAGCAAGGTAAGCTGAGGACCCGGGGTGCAGCTGGCACCTCAGCAAGGAAATAGCTTGGAGGCATCTCAGATTTTCAGTGGCCACTGAGATTACATCTATCAGCCATAGACTTTTGCAAAGTCAGCCAGACATTCATCATGGTGCTAGTGTCCGGATTGCCTCCCCAGACTCACCAGAGTCAAGATCCAGCCTCATAAAATGGTTGGCCAGTGCTTGAAGGGAATTCCATGATGTGAAATGGGGTGTGTGGAAGAGCTTTGGATAAAGTACTGTATTTGAATGACGTCCTATACCAAATGTTAGCCACCCAGGGTAGCATCATTCTTGAAATTATGCCTACTTAGAATAAAATAAACTAAGGCTCAGAATGATCAGCCACAGTTGCTGGCCAGTATCACATCCTAATAGAGATGGCCTTTCATTCCCACGACCATGTGTCTAGGTTGGTTTTGTTGTTGTTGTTGTGTTTTTCTTTCTTCAGGTGTTTTTTGCAGTATTGGAGAGCAAGCCCAAAGCCTTCCATGTTCTAGGCAGACCAGACATTCCACCACTGAGCCATATCCCCATTCCTCTTTTCATTTAGAGCCAGGCAGGGCCTCACTAAATTTCATAGACTGGCCTGGAGCTTACTCGTAGCATGGCTGGGGCTTGATCTTGTGATCCTCCTTCCCCAGCCTCCTGAGAGGCTGGGATTACAGGCCCATACCACTAGGCCTGGGCCAGTGTCCAGTCTTTAAAAACCATGTAGAGCTGAGCCTGATGGCACTCACTTGTGATCCCAGCCCTTGAGGCAGATGGATTTCCACAAGTTTGAGGGCAATTTGAGCCACATAGCAAGTTCAAAGTCAGCCAGAGCTGCCTCAAAAACAAAGCAAAAGCAAATGCCTAAAAATCATGTTGAGTTGTACTTGCAAAAAAAGCAAATATAAGGGCTGGAGAGTTGGCTCAGCAGTTAAGAGCACTGGCTGTTCTTCTAGAGGACCCGAGTTCAGTTCTCAGCTACCACATGGTGGCTCACAACCATACCTAGTGGGATTTAATGCCCTCCTTCTGGCATAAAATTGTACATTCAGATAGAGCTCTTGTATACATAAAATAAAAAGGAAAGCAAACATGGCTTTTTAAAATGTATCTAATCCTTATGTTAACAAAGACCACACGCCTTCTCTGGTCCCACTTTTTATGCTACTGCAGTGACAACATATGAGGAGACAATTTCTGGTGCTTCCAGTACATCCTGGATAAAACTTTTGAAAGCACTTCATGTTCGGTCTCCACAGTCCCTCTGTTCCTACATGCGTGGACTAGAAATGGAATGTTCAGAGTCACCTGGGTGTGTGTGTGTGTGGGGGGGTGACTGGAGAGGGTAGAGGAACAGGCCAAGCAGCAGACAGGGCAGTCCCTTATATAGAGCGACTTAGAGATTTCATGAAGTAGGGCATTAGGGATAAGCTTTGGGTTAATCAATTAGCAAATTTCAAGTCAGCCCCAAGGCCAAAGATCACACAAGGCCCATGGGAAGAGGTTGAAAGTTGAACCTTCTTCCCTTGATCTTTCCACCCTTGTCAGCACCCTGAGGTGTGATCTCCTTCCCCCTCCCTCCCTCTCACTCACCCTCCCTCCAAGTCTTCAGATCCAAATTCCATCCAGTTTTGTCATTGTTCTGCTGGACCAGGGCCTGGGAAGCCTATGACTTTTGGTGTCAAAGGCAAAGTATTTAAGATCAGTTTCTAAGACCATTTGTCAGAATCAAACGGTGTGTGTTTCTTGAAGAATTGTAGCAAATCACATCTTGTCTGTCCTGGACTCTTTCCCTGGTTATGTCACAAGCCCAGCACTGCTCTGCTTACATTGGCCTTCCCGGGTTTGATTAAATTGTAAATGAGTTTTGTGTACCAGACCAAAAGGGTGTGGGCTTTGTTCCACTGGCTTTGTGGAAACAGGAGAAATTAACACAGAATTGCAGGCTCAGCCATACCCATGCTATTTTAGTACTTTTCTTGCAGGGCAGCTATTTTGAAGACAGGCTAGCTTAGTTATGGTTTTTGTGGCTGTGAAGAGACACCACGACCACGGCAACTCTTATAAAGAAAACATTTAATTTCGATGGCTTGCTTATAGCTTCAGAGGTTCAGTCCATTATCATCATGGCTGGGAGCATGGCAGCGTGCAAGGAGCATGGCAGCGTGCAGGGAGCATGGCGGCATGCAGGCAGATGTGGTGCTGGCTCCATCTTGGCCTGCAGGGAGCAGGAAGTTGACCGCAACCCTGGGCAATATCCTGCATATAGGAAACCTCAAAGCCCACCCCCACAGTGACACACTTCCTCCAACAAGGCCATACCCACTTCAACAAAGCCACACCTCCTACTAGTGCCATTCCCTATGAGATTATAAGAGGCCAATTATATTTAAAATGCCACAGAGGCCAACTAAGAGACTCCCGTACTAGTCAAAAGAGAAGATGGGTGAGGGCCTGATGGAAAGAGAAAGGGGGGAACATGGGGAACATATGAAAGAGGACTCATGGATCCAACAGAGAGACTTTAGAAGCCTCTGGACACACGTCACTGAACCAAGAGTGGAGAAGTCCAGACACTCACCACTTAGAAGTTTCCAGTAGCTTATAGACCTGCTATAGGCAGACCGATGGAACTTCCTGCCTGTTTCTTCTCTCTACAGAATCAAAATAGTACTTCATACAACTCTTAGTGGACACATTATGAAGTTACTCCAAAGAAACATGCAATGATGAATATGGCCGCAGTAGTGATAACTTTTAGGAAGCACCGAGAACAATGCTAACTAGGCGTATTCCTCATCTCATTTAAACCTCTTCTTTAAGGGGCCCCATGTTCTCCAAAATGGAAAGCCAAGGCTTAAAGAGGTTAGACAGCTTGCTCAAGATCACATAGGTAACAAAGGCCAATCCTTTTGTTGTCCTCACAGTTACTACTAATAGCCTATGTCTTTCTTCAGTCATAAACCCTTTATCTTGGAATGTCCGTTGGTTGTCAGTTTTCAAGACCCTTACAGGATTTTAAACATAAAAATTTAAGAAGTGACTGGGTTTTTAATTGTATGACTCAACTAGAGATTTAGAATTTAGATGGCATCCCCCCAACCACCTGCAGGCGCTCTTTTTTTTTTTCCTTAAAAGAAAGTTGATTATATGTGGGTTTTTTTTTTCTTTCTTATTTCAGGCCCATAAAGAGAGGTGACATTTTGCCCCCAGAAAAAGGCCGAGAGGTGGCGAAGGAACTTGGCATCCCTTACTACGAGACCAGCGTGTTTGATCAGTTTGGCATCAAGGATGTGTTCGACAATGCCATCCGGGCAGCCCTCATCTCCCGCCGGCACCTGCAGTTCTGGAAATCCCACTTGAAAAAAGTCCAGAAGCCTCTGCTTCAGGCGCCCTTCCTACCTCCGAAAGCCCCTCCCCCGGTCATCAAGGTCCCCGAGTGTCCGTCCGCGGGGACAAGCGATGCCGCCTGTTTACTGGACAACCCTCTATGTGCCGATGTCCTCTTTGTTCTCCAGGGCCAGGAGCACATCTTTGCCCACCGCATTTACCTCGCTACCTCCTCTTCCAAATTCTACGACCTTTTTTTAATGGAGTGTGAAGAATCCCCCGGTTGGGGTGGCGGCGCTGGGGAGGAGATGCCATGCAGGGATTTTCAGGGGCGGACGCAGAGCATTGGCCCAGCCGAGGAAGGGAAGAAAAGCTCCCAGAGGACCCTTCAGGCTGCTGGCCCAGGAGCTTCTTCAGTCCAGGACCTGCTAGAGAGCCTGGCTTTGCAGACGGAGGCCTCGGGTTCCGAGGCACAGGCCCTGACTGGCTGGAGCAAGGGGTTTGTCAGCATGCACAGGGAGGCGCGGGTCAACCCCATTTCTAAGAGAGTAGGCCCAGTGACCGTAGTCAGGCTGGACTCGTCAATGCAGTCGGGCCCTTTCCGGACCCTGCTGCGATTCCTCTACACTGGGCAGCTGGACGAGAAGGAGAAAGATTTGCTGGGGCTGGCTCAGATGGCCGAGGTCCTGGAGATGTTCGACCTGAGGATGATGGTGGAGAATATCATGAACAAGGAAGCCTTCATGAACCAGGAGATCACGAAAGCCTTCCACGTCAGGAAAGCCAACCGGATCAAAGAGTGTCTCAGCAAGGGCACCTTCTCAGGTGAGCAGGGCACAGCGAGCCATCCATTAGCTAAACAGAGCATGAGATTGGGGCGGGGGCGGGGGGGTCATCACATACTAGCTGCTAGCTAAACGCTAGCATGAAATCGAATAAAGACAATAAGGATTATCTTGGCCTAATCCTTATCAGACCCAAGAGATAGACTTTCAACATTGCAGACGTTGAGAAACAAGGGACTGAGAGGCCAGGTCACGAGGTCAGTTAAGTGATAACAGTGAGGACAAGAACCCCAAGCTTGGCCACCACACAAACCTAGTCCCTCAACCTCCAGTGCTCAGGGTAGATCGGGTGACCCTGAGCCTCTCTCCAGGGGCTTGACACTTGAACTGCCTGGCTTCAGGACCTGTTCTGTGACCAGTGTCCATTGTTCCTTTCTTCTCCATTGTCCCTGCCTCATTGATCTCTGGTCCTGAGGTCACTGAAGTCCCAGAGGCAAGCTGCATTACCACTTCCATCACCACCACCCCCAGCTGCCTGCCCGACTTGTGCCCTTGCACTCCTGGGCCCTGATCTTTCTTCTTTCATCTCCGGTAACAATGCCACACGAAGTCATTGGTGTCCTTCCAAGAGCAAACCCTCTAGGGACTGCATCCGGTCTGACTTACTGACCTTTGCCTTGTTCTGTCTGCTACATGTATACTATTTTTATTCTAGAACCTTCGTCTCTGGACGTGGGTGTGGGTGTAAGTGGACTTCACTGCAATAAGTCGACTTCCTGAGTTCTGTTTACTGGGCTACCTCTATTTTCGTTTTTTTTTTTTTTTTTTTTTTTCCCCCATAACCCCTGCCACAAGGTACTACACATTCCAAGACCTGATACTCTATTCATTTTAAAGCAAGGGGTGGGTAACTTTTACTACAAACACTGGTTGCCATGGTGTGGAAGCAGCTCTGATATTGCTGAAAGGAATGTGTTGCAAATCTGTACTCAATGAACTGGTAGACATTAGAGTTGACTTAATCCCTGTCTGCAACTGGCCAGATAGAGCCAAGCAAGAATGGGGGTCCACATAGGACTCGTTTATGAGAGACAGGCCATGGCATGTCACTCAGGGATGACCGAGACATCTGAGCTAGGTAATGGATGGCATCAGAACATTGTTCTATTTTTTTTTTCTCTTTTAGCTACAATAAATCATGGTGCACTTCTTTGAAATGTTGTGTTCTTAGGAGCTTCATGACGAAGAAATGAATGGGAATGAAGTGTCACTATCAGTACACACACACACACACACACACACACACACACACACACAGGGGTGGGGCGAGGGGAGGGGTAGATAGATACCTAGGGCACATGCAACCATACAGTAACAAGAGCTAGCTAAACAAGCCTTGTATATGCTGAGCACCCATGCCCAGTCTGAAAATCCAAGGCCTAAAATGCTCCAGATTTCCAACCTTTTGAATGTCAGCATGCCAGAAACTTCATGTCTGTCTTGACAGGACAAAATTAAAGTAAAAACATGTATCCCAATCACTGGGCAAGGTGGTACAAAGGCAACAGTGAATGTTAATTTAAAAGGTGATCAGACAAATATACAGCAAATGAAACAATGAAACAATGAACCATGTCTAATGTTAATTGAAATTACTTACAAGCTGAGTATACAAGGTATCTATGAAACATATGTGGATTTCATGTTTCAACTCATCTTCTAGCACCAGGATTGTCCTTATGTAAATGTGTCAAACGCAGTACAAACCCCAAATCTAAAACACAAAAAGGCAATCCTCTCCTTGCTACTGCTTCCTGGCCCTGGGACTTTGTGTTATGATCCTGTGTGCAATTTTTCAAGGGAGATTCCTTGATGTGGGAGCTGGATGTGTCACAAGTATGGGTTGAAGCAGGATCAGTAAACCTGGAAGAGGGAGTGAGAGCTACACCTTGATGGATGTACACGGAGTAGAAGGCTGGTGAAACCCCTGGCAAACCTGGCTCATGGTTTTGTTTCCTCCATCCTTGGCAGACGTGACGTTTACCTTGGATGATGGAGCCATCAGTGCCCACAAGCCACTGCTGATCTGTAGCTGCGAGTGGATGGCCGCCATGTTCGGGGGCTCCTTTGTGGAAAGCGCCAACAGTGAGGTAGGTACCCTGGAAGCCCAGAACGTGTAAGTTGAGCCAGATGACTCCCCTTCAACAGCTTCCGTGAAATAGTTCCTCAGGCCGAGTGTTAGTGTGAAATCATACTTGCTATGTCTTGTAGCCCTGAGGAGCAGCAGGTTGCTGGTCACCAGTGGGAGAGCATAGGGTGCTTAGGGTGCATTCTCACCCCTTTCTCACGCCTTTCTCCCACTCAAGAGTCATAATTGGCCATGCTTTCTAACAAACATCAACAAGACAGGAGTGATACTATCAGAGTCTTCTCTGGGGAAGTAAAAAGTTCCTCCATCGTCAATGGAGGACCAGCACTGTCTTTAGCCAGACAGGAGACCTTGCCCAACCCAGTCGTGCCTCGGCATGTCATCTGCACCCTGATGGCTGTTCCTAGTGATCCCAGAGGTCCAGCTGTGAGCCACAGCATTGGAGGCTCAGCCCCAATTTTCCCATCTTGCTGGGGGGAGGGGGCAGAGAGGGGAGTGGCTAGGAGTGTTTGTTTTGTGTAAGGAAATGAAAGTTGGTTGAGTCCTCAGTGCGCTGGACACACTTCTGAAATCGTGTAGATCTAGCAGAAGCAGAACGGTCCTATCCAACAAAAGACAGGCCTTAGAACGTCTCAGGCAGTGTCTCAAAGACACCGTCTTTATCTTTGTACAAACTTTTTGCTGGAACAAAAAGAAGAAGAAGGAGGAGGAGGAGGAGGGGGAGGAGGAGGAGGAGAAGGAGGAGGAGGAGGAGGAGGAGGAGGAATCCATTCAAGCATCTCTAAGTATGAGTGGAGCAGGCACTTCTGTTGAGTTTTGCAATATTACTTAACTTTTTTTTTTTTCTAAAAAATAACACGGGGACACCCCATCAAGTTTATTGTCCTTAGGGGCTAGCCTTGCTTATCTCAGCATCTCTTCCCAACTTTCAAAAGAAATACTAAAAACAAAGGCTAACTTTTCAAAAGGGGTGCTCCCAGGGGAGCACTCCCACGGTGTCCCAGGAGCCTTCATTTGCATCTCCAAGTAGGGAAACAGAATCCTAGAATCACAAGCCAGGAATGGATGGGGCCTGAAAAGGTCATTGGGCCATTCTCCTGCTTCCAGAAAAAAACACAGCTGCTGCTGAATCAGACCCCAGAAAAGGAGCCCTGCCCTTTGGGCGGAAGACTTCAGAATTAACCCAGCAACCTCTTGTGCATCCTTAGGAGATCAGGAAGCTCTTTGATTTGCTAAATCTCCCTCCTGTGTGCTCAAAGGTGAGAGAGGCTCAAAGGAAGGTTTCTCCGTGCATAGAGGCTGCACAGAAAAGGGTGCCCATGACCCAAACATAACTCTTCACCCCCAGGCTGGATGGCCTAGAACAAGCGACTTCAACTTTCTGAGTCCCCCTCAGTCAAGCACTCAAAAATGACCCAGATGTAGTTCTGAGAGTCTGTTTAGGAAGTTAATTCCTGAGCATTTAGTCCGTGCTAACACTGTAGACTGGTTGGCACTGATGCTGACGAAAGATTGGGGTAGCTCCCCCTCCATCTGACCTGCTGTGATGGGCATTTTCTGGTGTGCTGTCCCTTAGCTTTCTAGCCCCACCTCACCTGCTGGTGGCATCTTTATGTGAGTGGAGCCTAAAGATGAAGGTCAGGACCCCAGGCAACAGAGCAACAGTGTCAGCGCTGAAGCTAATCTCCTTTATCCCCTCACAGAAGGGACCTCTAATCTCTCCAGATTAACATGTGCAGCAGAGGTAACCAAGACCTAGCAGCTCCCGTGTGAGTACACACATCCCTTATGCGTGTGAGCGCACACACACACACACACACACACACACACACATGCCTTACATGGTAACGGACCCACTGGAAGTGGCCATTTGTTCAAAGGGAATCTGGAAGGAACCTAGGTCCTAGCCCTCGCCTCTGAGGACTGAAGCTAAGACTAATACAGGCAGAGATTGCAGTCACTGGGAATTAAAAAAAAACAAAAAACAAAAAAAAACCAAACGACCACTAACCAAGTCACCAAAATTCCACAAGCCTTAGCAATGCCATCCACTGTTAACATTTCCATTTCCTGTCCCTTCTCTCTGTTTCTAAAAACAGACCATAAGAGGTGTCCATTAACTTTTATCTTAGTGTGACTGTGACCTGGGGCCAGTGGTCAGCCTTCTCTAAACCTATGTCCTTATCTATTAAGTGAGAATGGCAAGCAAATGTTCTCCCGAGGGCAGTCAAAGCATGGGCATGGATGTGCCATGCCTGGAGCATAGGTAATGCCCAGCAAATGTTGCCACCCTTATTAAATTTTCTCACTGGGGATGAGGGTGCTTGTACCATAACAGCTCTAGATTAAGAAGGTGCCAGCCACTGGGCAGTGCTTGTGCACACCATTAATCCCAGCACTGGTGTTAGACCCCCGAAAACTCAAGTATCCGGGGTCCCAGGCCACGTTCTCGGTCACCCCAATCACCAGGCGGATTCGAGAGCTTGCTGCAAACTGCACGAGGCTTTATTGTAATTTAACGAGCTAACCCCATGTTAGCTTGGGTCTTTCACCCACCCGCCATGGCGGACAGCTAGAAAAGAA